AAGGGGTTCTCTGCCTGGTTGCTGGATGGGCATGACCATGGTGGGTGTGGCCTAGTCAGTCTCCTGAACCACGGCGGGGGGGGCGTTTTTGCCCTCCCCAGGCTCCAGAGGCTTTTCTCGAGCTTCCGGGAGGGCAAAAATGGCCTCCCCAGGTTACAGAGGCCCTCTGGAGGCCGGAAACGGGCCTGTTTCCGGCCTTCCCAAGCTTCAGGTAGGCCCAATTTTTGCCCTCCCTGAGCCTCCGCGCACGCCCTGCACTTACCTGCATCCAAAACGGGCCGCATGGGGATCCTGGGAGGGGCGGGGTGGGGTGGGAGGGGAAACCAGGAATGGGATTTGGGGGTTCTCCAAACTGCACAGAATCTTAGCTAGAGGTTCTCCTGAACCTCTGCAAACGCCCAGCAGCTCACCCCTGGTTAAGGGGTTAGATTGGCACTGGAGAAACCAAGGTTCAAGTCTGTTCTTAACCTTGGAAATTCAATGGGTGGCTTTGGTCCAATCAGCTTGTTCTCTCAGCAAACCCTGGTTCACATGATAGTTGTTGTGGAGAAAAATTGGAAGAGGCAGTGTTAGGTAAATTGTCTGGAGCTTTTAAAAATGAGTAGAATATGAATCTAAGAAACCAGGAAATGAAGAGGACAATAAAAAAGGGAAGTCCTTGTGAATGAAATGAGAATTGTTAGACCTTTGAAGAATTTCTAATGAGATTTTTCTGTGTCTTGAATGTAGGATTGTGCCTGGAATGTAAACTTATAATGAATCTGGACTCCCACAGGTTTTTCATTGCTATTGATTGTCTGATTTTTGAGGTAATAGAGCTGTCTGCTGTTTAACACTATTCCTTCAGTGCTATACATCGGAAAATGTTAGAATAAGGCTAGGTATTTAAAAGATAAGAAAATGCTTTCTATTGAGTCAAACTTTTGATCTATCTAATTCAGAAATTGAAACTCTATTCAGAATTTCTACTGAGTCACATCACAGGTTGACCTTGTTCAATATTTTATGCTGAGTTATACTATTGACCCATCTAATACAGTCTTGTCCTCCATGTCATAGCCAGTAGCCCTACTATCTGGGAATCGAAATCCAACATACCTTGAAGGACCTAGATTGTAGAAGCTTGGGGGATGCTGACATAGAGTGAGGTTCTAGGTTCTAGGTTCTAGAAAGGATATTTTTCATGCACTAGAAAGAGATACTAAATCCTGAACCTAAGATTTTATTTTTGCATACAAAATAGGTGTTATATTAGAAAATTTCCTCAAATCAATACTTCCTGTTTCAGGATGACAAACAATAAAAGATGTGAATCCATCCCTCATGTTCCCTCTTCATATTGACCAAGTGGTACCCCTCCTTCTGAGTTTAGAGCTTGAAACCTACCTACCTATCTATCTCTCTATCTATCTATCTATCTATCTATCTATCTATCTATCTATAAATGGCTGTCTCTCTCTCTCTCTCTCTCTGTGTGTGTGTGTGTGTGTGTGTGTTTGTATGTTTGTATGTTCCAGCATAACTCTGGAACGCTTCGAGCAATTTCAACCAAACTTGGTACACAGATGACTTACTCTCTGGAAAAAAATACTGTGGTGGTAAGACACCCCTAACAACCCTCAGGGTGAATATAGCTGATCGGTCCTGGTGGCCTTCCACAGCGGCCATGCGCCACCCGCTGGGCCATTCTGGATGGCAAGGAGAACCATTGCCACCAGATGGGTGTTGGCCAGGCTGTTACCGCAGCCACTGGACAAGTGCAGCCCCAACACCGCCGGGCACCAGGTGATGGTTACCAGTGGGTGTGGGCAGCTGGATGGACAGGGGGTGGGGCAGGGGTGAAATCCAAAATTTTTCCCTGCCGGTTCTGTGGGCATGACTTGGTGGGCATGGCAGGGGAAGGATATTGCAAAATCTCCATTCCCACCCCACTCTGGGGCCAGCCAGAGGTGGTATTTTCCGGTTCTCTGAACTATTTAAAATTTCCACTACTGGATTTCACCCCTGGGGTTTCACCCCTGGGGTAGGGCCCAGAGACTAGTGATTTTGTATATCATTTTATTTTATAATGTGTATACTGTACGTATACTTTTAAAAGCCTGTAAGGCATGAGATACATAAATACCCGGGCAATGCCAGGTTATCAGCTAGTAGAGTCATGAAATTAGAAACTGAATGTTGGATTTGTTTCCATCTATACATGTGTTGGCTATGACTGAAAGTAAAGCCTTTTTTTAAAAAAAAGAGCTGAAGAACATCTGAAAAGAGAATTTTGTTGTGCTTTCTTTTGTTATGTTTTGAATGCTTCCAATAATGTTCACAACAGAACTGTGAGTCATTTTGATTCTACTAACAACCTTTTAAGCATCTCAGATATCAAAGCAACAAAGGATGCTTTCTGCAAGTTAAACTTGAAAGGATCTCATCTTGAAAAGTAATTTTATTTTTATCTGAATTGTTTATGAAAATGATTGTGCGACAAGAGCTTCATCTGGATTCACAAGGAACCTTTGATGGGGAGCAAATCTGACCAGTCAACAAGTCTTCTGAATTGTGTACTGACAGATTTGTACATTCTTATTTCATAAAAGAGCCTTCTACCAGTGGAAAAAAAATCATGTACCAATGTTACACAACATGCATATGAGCAAAATCCCCCTTTGTACGGTGAAAGAAGATGGTTATAAATACTGCAAGTTAATCCCAGTAGCAAAAAGAAAAAGACACAGTGAAGCACTACATGCCACAACAACCAGACTGTATCTGCCAGGCAAATCCCTTTGTTTTGTAATGATTCTGAATTGTTCAACTTTTGCTTTTATCCTCCCATCTGCTTTGTTTACCATGCATGCAGACAGAAGCTTAGCTGTTCAAAGCACAAATATGCATCATCTTATTTTCTGAACTTGAAATGTCACAGTGGTTAAAAATACACTTTACCCCTTTTTTACAAGGGGATGTATGTATGTATGTATGTATGTATGTATGTATGTATGTATGTATGTCTTTGGTTATTCGGGTTTTCTCCCGCGTAAAATTGGAAGTGTCTTGGTGATATTTTGACGAAGTCTCATTCGTCATCTTCAGGCTGGTGTTTTTGGCTTCGTGCTTCTAGGAGAATTTTACGCGGGAGAAAACCCAAATTTTACGCGGGAGAAAACCCAAATAACCAAAGACCTACATACAAACACCCGTGAAAACCTCAGAAAACATGCACACACACACACACACACACGTGTGTGTGTGTGTGTGTGTGTGTGTGTGTGTGTATATAATTTCGCTGATAAAGAAATAAAGGGAGACTAGTATAGATCTATTTCAAGCTATTTAGCTCTCATCAGCTAGCCATACCCTTACTTGGATTCGAACTTTGTCTGCCTGCAGGTTAGGCAGTTGTATTAACCTCTGAGCCACAAGTTCTCCTCCCTTCATCAGCTTGAGCCAGGGGAGAGAGATTAAGTATTTTTCTATCGAGACACCTGGGCTACCCCAGCATGTGGAAAGGAGCGTACTGCATCCCTTTTGCCTTTCAGCTCCAATCCAGGAGCCCTCAAGCAGTCGTATTCACGGCAAACCATTTTATACCAAATTTATATTTCGCTGATAAAGAAATAAAGGGAGACTAGTATAGATCTATTTCAAACTATTTAGCTCTCATCAGCTAGCCATACCCTTACTCGGATTCAAACTTGAAGGGTATCTGAGTAAGGGTATGGCTAGCTGATGAGAGCTAAATAGTTTGAAATAGATCTATACTAGTCTCCCTTTATTTCTTTATCAGCAAAACGTCTTCAAAGAAAAACCAGAAAGTTCAGTTGCCTCTTGAAAAAGCACCTTTGAGATTTTGCTTCTCATCCAAGCAGCTTCATCCGTTCTGATGGTGGGGAAAATGGAAGGATGATATTTCTCTGCAGTCATTTAGTCGTTAAAGCACTCTCTGACTGATTAACTCAAAGTGGCTTCAAGAGCTCTCAGGGAGAGTGCTAACGACCAGATGACTGCAAAGAACCACCATCCGGTCAGCACCTATCCTTCCATCCCTCTACCATCCACTCTCAACAGTCAGTACTTATCCTCCCATCTCCCCACCCTCAGAGCCGATGAAGCTTCATGGATGAGAAGCAGTGGTGGGTTTCTATCAGTTCGCCCCAGTTTGGGCAAACCGATAGCAGCGGCAACAGGAGACTCCATCCACCCACCTAGACATCATCATCACAGACGCTTTGCGCATGCACAGAGGGTTTTGTGAATGCACAGAAGGTTCTGTGCATGCGTACACGCACGCTTACAGTTCTGAACTGGTAACGAAGGTAAGTGAAACCCACTACTGATGAGAAGTAAAATGTTTTCTTCTTCCTCAAGGAAAAAAACAGTCCAGTTGGCTTTCGGGGTGGGGGGAAGCACCTTTGAGACACTCATTCTGTCCATCATTGTCCTTGTGAGGCTGGCAAGGATCTTTCATTGAGACATTTTTCTTGAGTGACTTATGGCATCTGGCTGGAACTTAAGTATGAAAGAGTAGAATTTGTATTGTTATGTCACCATGAAGGTCATGCTTCTTTAATCATATCCGGCTAGAGATACTTAATGGTACACACTGTATTTAAAAGAACTTGGGGAAGGAACTGAGTAGTCATGCTGGTAAGGTGACAACATTAACAAAGAATTGTAGAGACTTAATTGTTGAGAAGCACCTTTCGACTCTAGCAGGCTCCAGAGAGAAGGAGAAAAGATATTCCTCTAGAAGGAATCCCTCATGAATCACAGTTCCTAGGATTTCAGGGAAGTCTACGGCACATCAGTAGTTTTAATCTGTAGCATAACCTTGTAATTATGTTCAGGGCTCTGACTCTTCAGAGAACATGCAAGGTTATCACCTAGCTTAACATCTGGAGAATCAAAGGAATGCACATGGCAAAATCCAGCAATGACTAACATTTGTGTAGCAAGTGACACCGTCGAGGTTTTACTCACGTGTCTGGAGGCTACAGCTGAACCCTGGGAAGATAAGTTTTGAGGTTGCATGAATCTGTTCATCTTTGTGGACTTGCACTCTCCCCAACAGAGCTGGTGAGATCTTTTGCACATTTATTTATTTATTTATTGATTGATTGATTGATTGATTGATTGATTGATTGATTTATTGGTTCGATTTATATGCCGCCCTTCTCCGGAGACTCAGGGCGGCTTACAATGCGTTAAGCAATAGCCTTCATACTTTTGTATATACCTGCTTAGTAGGGCTTTCGACCCCCCCTAAGCGGTGTTCTTTTTTTATACAAAGTCAGCTTATTGCCCCCACAATCTGGGTCCTCATTTTACCTACCTCGAAAGGATGGAAGGCTGAGTCAACCTTGAGCCTGGTGAGATTTGAACTTGCAGTAATTGCAGGCAGCTGGTGCTATTTAACAGCACTTTAGTCTGCTGCACCACCAAGGCATATATCCCTTTCTCTTCTTTCTATGGTATTGTATTAGTAAACCAGACAGCATATAGCTGTGATGGTGAGCCTATGGCACGCAGAGCCCTCTCTGCGGGCACTCCTCCCACCGGCCATCTGGACTTCGGGTCTCTGCTGCACATGCGCGGGGGGGCGGGGTGCAGGCGGGGATGCAGGTGCACATGCATGGAGGGAGGGGCACATGCGCAGGGCGCTCGCATTGCATTTGGGGGGATCATGCACATGTGCGTGCCCCCCCACGCCCCATTTTGGGCCTGGAAGGCCTCCTTCATCAACCTGGAAGCCAAAATGGGGCATGGGGGGATGCGCATGGCCCCGGCTCTGTTTTGGGCCTGGAAAGCCTCCTGCACCAACCTGGAAGCCAAAAATAGGTGGGTGGTGGGTGTATGGATGGGGGGCGCTTGCATTGCATTTTGGGGTTTCACACGCGCTTTGGGCATTCGGCACCAAAAAGGTTGGTCATCACTGGTGTATAGATTAGTAATTTGAATGCTGGGACAGTGGTGGTTTCATTCTTCATTTAATTTGTTATTGCTGTTGTAGGTTTGTTAGAAGAAGATCAAAACAAAATGAGAAATGTTCTTGTCTGTGACTTATATGACACTAAAAGATCTTGGGAAGCATAAAAATAGGATGCGAATTAAGACAAAAAGTTGGGTTTTGTAAAAGATGATGATGAATCAAGGAGTAAAAAAAGAGTCTTGGTTGCCATTGTTGAAGCATAATTTGGACAAATTTTCTGTGAAATACTTACGTTAGTAAAACCAAGACACTGTGTGCCTAAGTCAATCTAGTGATCTGTACATCAACTTTCCTCAACTTAGTATTTTTCATATTTATTGCACCCATTTAGGAATTCTGCAAGTTACAGAACAAAACATCAAGAAGCTTCATTTTTATAGAAGACTCCTTATCTGAGATAAAACTAACTTGCACAGTCATGCCCTGTTATTACTATCTCCTTGTAGGCTCCATGTTTCAAAATTGCCTGTGGCTGAAACCCATTGATGTATGAATATTAATTTATTCCACATTTACTACAGGTTTTCCTTTTATGAAGTTCAGAGTAATGTTGACCCTAACATTCAGTGTCCTGAAGAAAAAATTACATGGAATGAATATGTACCTTCATTGAACATCTCACTCCTAGTTCTGATCTTCTATGAGTAACCCAACACCCTGGAACCCTACCAAAATGTAAATAAATTGTCATAGGGGTAAGTAATATCTAATAACTTCTTCATGAAGACCAACATGGATTTTTGCCAAAGAGACAATTGGGATTTAGGCCAGGGGTGAAATCCAACAGGTTCTGACAGATTCTGGAGAACCGATAGTGGAAATTTTGAGCAGTTCGGAGAACCAGTAGAGGAAATTTTGAGTAGTTCAGAGAACCAACAAATACCACCTCTGGCTGGTCTCAGAGTGGGGTGGGAATGGAGATTTTGCAATATCTTTCCCCCAGGAGTGGGGAGGGAATTGAGATTTTGTAGTATCCTTTCCCTGTCATGCCCACCAAGCCACGCCCACCAAGCCACACCACGCCCACCAAGCCATGCCCACAGAACCGGTAGTAAAAAAAATTGGATTTCACCATTGATTCAGGCTGTCTTTGCCTTATGATTTGTCACTTAGAGATCTTCTGAAATTACGACAGACCCACAAAAGGGATAGTGACAAAGATTATGAGGTAAGAAGTCCAAAGAGAATTATCTGTAAAATATGGATCTTAAAAAAAGATCAAATACTAGAGAAAATTTGACTAATATGAACTGTATGTTATTTCATATTATTACATTAAGTTAAGGTATGGAGTGAAATTATGAAGGACTTATGAAGGTGGGGAAAATTGCAATTATCATTGTTTGGAAGATTTTCTGTGGTAAAAATGCAACTGCTACCAAGAATTATGACTTTATTCCAGACAATACCTGTTTTGAGAAATGATGCACATTTTAAACAATGGCAAGAAAATATATCCAGATGTTATATGGCAGGACAAGAAACCAAGAGTTAAATATAAAGTCCTGCAAGATATAAAAAGGAAAAAGGAAAATTAGGACTCCAGACTTTAAATTCTTACGTTACGGCTTGCAGTTTGGTCTGGATGAAAGAATGGCTGTTGCTAAGAAATATGTGAATGTTACAATTAGAAAGTAGGGCGCCATGGCTCAGCAGTTAAACACGCTGAGCTCGTCAGCTGGAAAACTGACAGCCCGGGTTCAAGACCCGACCGTCACACAACAGGGTGAGCTCTCATTCCTTGTCCTAGCTCCTGCCCACCTAGCAATTTGAAAGCATGCAAATGAGAGTAGATAAATAGGTACCACTTCAAATAGGTACCGCTTCATTGGGAAGGTAACAGTGTTCTGTGCACTTCTGGCATATGGCCATGCTGACTACATGACCAGGGAAATTGTCTTCAGACAACGCTGGCTCCTTCAGCCAATAAACAGAGATGAGCCATTAGAATTGGACATGATTGACAGGGAATCTCTTACATTTTTACTGTCAACCCGACATGCCGGGGCTGCCATTCTGGAGGGACTAGTGGGAGACCACTGAACCGCCAGCCTAGCCACCCAGAGCCCGCCGCCACCGCTGCAGCTACCATCACACCCGCTGCAGCCTTTGCCGCCGTCATCCCTGGTGCCTTCCTCACAGCTATGACCGCTGCCATTGCCGCTGCAGCCTCTGAAGACTGGCGCCATGGCTGCTGCTCTGGGTGCTGCCATTTTTGCTGCTGCCAACACTACCACACAGCTGAGAGGCGGGCCCAGAAACAGCTGATGTTCAGGGCCTCCGCCTGAAGGGAACCAATCCGCAGCAGTGGATGGCTAGCCAAGGAGAACAAACTAAGAAAGAATGTTGGCTGGGGAGGGGGGGTGTAAAGCGGAACTTGGGTAGAGTCACGGGATGGAAGCAGGAGACTTCAAAAGATGGTGGGGAGCACTGTGCAATGGCACTGACAATATTTCACTTTTCACAGGTGATTGTTGGATCGTGCTGGAGCGTAAGATAAAGAACATGCTACATCAAAGAAGATAGTTGTTTGGAGGTTTTTTTTTTCACTGTGCCATTCCGGAACCTGACATTTACAATGAGAAAAACATAAGTTTTAGGTGGCATGGTTTTCTATGATATGCAAAAGTCAAAAATCAGTCTGAGAAGAATGCCATATTAAGAATATGGATCAGATATACTGCAAATCCTGCTGTGCCCAAAAATACTATTACTCGCCTCAGTACAAGAAGTGTTTTATAGAACAGAAACAGCAAGCAAGGATAAATGGCTAAGATATCAAGACTTGCTAGTAGAGGAAAATTGAGAACTTAAGATGAAATCAAGAGAACAATTGACTGCAGAGGGATTTACTTTTCAATGGGTTTTTTAAATACACAATTAAAAGAGAGGTTTAATGTGTCTAAAAAGATATCAGAGAGATAACGGTATGTAATGGAATTTGAAATGGAATTATGTACAAATGATGAACATGTAATTGCTAAAATGTATAAACTTGTGTTAAGATTTGAGATGGAAGAAGAAACTATGACAAAATGGGCTAAGCATTTTGGTAATAATATACAGATGAACGGTGGAAAAGAATGTGCCTAACAGCCTGAAATTCAACTGTCTTATAACTTAAGAAAGAATTTATATAAAATGATGTGCTGTTGGTATATGTCAGCAGAAAAATTAGCAAGGATATAAAAACATATTTCTAATTGCTGCTGGAAATGTGAAAAATATGAAGGGACATTTTTCCTTGCATGGTGGATGTGTGAAAAAGCAAAAAATAAAATAAAATTGGACACAAATGCATATGATGATGCAGAGCGTTTTAAAGAATTTTAACAATAAGGAGGCATTTTTTGTATTGGGATTTATTGATGGACAATTGGAAAAGACTCATGCTGATTGGTTTTATATGTGGTAACTGCAATGAGGCTGTTATATATTCAAAGACAGAAAAATACAGAAACATCCCCAATGGAGGAATGGGTTGTGAAGATGCCAGAACGTGCAGAAATATCTGCTTAGACTTTTAAGGAGGGAACAACAATTACCTTTTGTAAAACACTGGAAATCTTTTATGGATGTTTTTGTCAGGTGCGAACAATTAGGATCACACGTTAAGTTCCAGTTAAGTTGATTTATTGCTCATGCCTAAACACAAGGAGCTAGTCAACTAACAGTCAGCACAAATTTGGCACTAGATGAAAATTAATAGAGGACTTGGGATGCTTATGGGAATGTCACAACTCTAGATTGATTCCTCTCTTGACTCTACCCCTGGGCTTTGCCTGTCCTTTTCCTTGTCAACTTCAAAACGGATCTAGGCTGCCACAGCCATCTTTTTGTTTCTCAGCTTGCCACACTGTATGGAGGGAGGGAGGGAAAGGAAGAGGCCTGGAATGTCAGACTGGACAATAACAACAGATTGTCCCATGGGAACCAAGGTCATCTCAACAGCTGCTGACTGGAAGGAGTTGCCAGGTACACACTGGAACACCTACCATATTTTTTGGACTATAAGACGCACCTAAATTTAGAAGAGAAAAACAACCAAAAAAAAAGTTTTTGGCCTACCTTTTTTCAGGCCTTTTTTCAGCCCTTAACTGGTCTTTTTTTTTTTTGGCTTGTTTCTGAGCCTTTTTTCAGCCCATTTTCGAGGCTTTTTTCGGCTGATTTTCAAAGCTTTTTCTGGCCCATTTTTGGGGCTTTTTTGGCCCGTTTTCAAGGGGGTTTTTGGTCCATTTTTCAGAAAAAATGGGCCAAAAAAAGCCCCAAAAATGGGCCAAAAAGCCTCAAAATGGGCCAAAAAAAGCCTCAAAAATGGGCAGAAAAAGCCCTTAAAAAGGCTGAAAAAAGTCTCAAACACAGGGACAAAAAGCCTCAAAATGGACCAAAAAAAAAAAAAGCCTCAAATATGGGCCAAAAATAAAGGCCAGAAAAAGGCCTGAAAATAGGGCGTGCGGAAGCCAAAAAATGGCTGGCGGATAGGCAGGGCTTTGGCAATATTCGGTCTATAAGACACAGACATTTTTGCCCCCTTTTGGGAGACAAAAAAGTGTGTCTTATAGTCCAAAAAATAAGGTCAATGTGGACAATGTGATCTGTGACAAGGAAGGAGGGGAATATCTATTGTTTAATCATACTAAAACCGTGGGAAATAGTTAGAGTTGGTTTTGCTTTCATGTGTGCCAAAATGATGTACTCAACAAAACAGTTCTTTGAGGAATCTGATTGTTTCGGAGTGCTGACTTGGTTGGGTTCATCAGTCGGAACTTTGACACTCCTACGTTTTTGCTAAAAACGGATAAAAATGAACTGGCAATTTCTGGATTTACCAATTGCATATGGGAAGAAAGGAATTATGTTACATAATTTAGAAGGGGGAAAACAGTTTTAAATAGGTCTATAATTGCTGTAAATAACATTGGAAATTGCTTCTTTAAAGGGTTGGGTTGGGTTTCTTTTTCTTTTCTTTTTCTCTTCTTTTTTTATTGTTTACAACATATTTTTCTTTATCTTTCTGGGTTTTTTTCTATATCATTTTCTGTTTATCTTTTCATCTATATGGAAGATCACCAAATATCTGACTAAAAGAGTAAGGTTTTTTGCACAGTGGGTTTAATCCCAAAGAAACTTCAGTTGTTAGATATATTGTTTTGTGATTAATATTGAATACTGTCCTGAAAAACAATTGCGGCAATGAGAAGGGAAAAAAAAACCTGCATTGTTGGCTGCAAAGCATCAACTTGGCACCAGCAACCTGGCAAAAAAAGTGCAGATGATGATGTTGTTTGCAATGCTTCTAAACAGAGTTAAAACCTCCAGTTTGATGAGGAGGTTGAAATGTTTTATCCTGAGCCAAAAATATAGATCCATCTAGCTTTCAACTGAAAAGGTCTCTTTGAGGGCTGAAACAAAAGGGTTGGACCAGTGGTGCAGAGGTGGGATTCACTTACCTTCCCTACCAGTTCGCAAATGTGAGCGTGCACGCATGTGCACTCGCATGCACCACCTCTGCACATGCGCACAACCTTCTGTGCATGCGCAGCAGTCACGCATTATGTCCGGACGGGTGGGTCAAGCCTCCCACAGTCGCCACTACCACTACCACAGTCGCCACTACGATCCGCAGAGAACTGGCTGAATCCCACCACTGCAGTGGTGGGATACAAATAATTTAACAACCGGTTTGCCCAGGGTCAGGTTGGGAGGAATGGCCCATCCCTATCCTGCAGCTCCACTGCACATGCAGGACGAGCTTCCCGCAACAGCCAATCTGACCCTGGGTGAACTAGTTAAATTACCCTGCACCACTATCAAAGTGGATCCTGGGTGCTGCGCTACAATGGAGAAATGGGAAATGGAGTGGACGGCAGAAGGGGAGAAGGAGGAGCAGGGAGAAGAAAGAGGGGAAGCAGTCTTTTCCTTCCCTTGCACCTTCCACTCTGTTGACCATTACTCCATTGTAGCACAGCATAGTGCCCAGGATCCACTTTGATAGCAGAGGGTGGGTAATTTAACAACCAGTTCACACGAACCGGTGCGAACCGGCTGAATCGCACCACTGGGTTGGACCCACTACATCAGATAGATGCAAGACATCTGCTCTACCAATGAGTTGTGGACTTGAATTCTTTAATGATGAAAAGATGACATGTTTGGAAAGCATGCTACAGACATGCGCAAAATGGCATTGGTCATACATAGCTTTGACCACGGGGTCACAGATGACAGCAAGGCATTGGGCTGAACTTGTCTATCATTTTTTTATTTTCTAAATATATCTATGAAGGGTTCAGAGGCACTCTTGGATATAATATTTATTCTTCAGGTTTGTGTTTTGTTCTCTTTGCTTCTCAGTTTCTTCTTTAATTATTATTTTTTAAATAAAAAATCATAGCATGGTGAGCTTCAAGACTAAGCAACTGGGGCTTTTTAGTTTGAAATGAAAGAAAGTAAGGAGAGACATGCCAGGGACATAAAAAATGATGTATGATCTAGATGAGGTGGAGGAAGAGAAGTTTGAGAAGAGAAATACAGAATAACAGAGTTGGAACAGATCTTGGAAGTCTTCTCCTCCAATCTCCTGCTTGAGCAGCAGCTCAAAAAAAAAAAAGAAAAAAGGATCTGTAAGCAGCTCAAGCTCTTCCAATGAAATTAAATTATGAGAGTTTCAAAACCAATGTAATGCTTTCTTGCACCACTAATATGGAGTTAGTTAGCAGCAGCTGTGATGGGTTGGAGGGTTTTAAAAAAAGGATTGGACAGGTTCATGGAAGATTAATCACTACTCATACAAAAGGTTTTTTTTCCCTTTTTTTGAATCATAGGCAATAAAACTTCCTTTTTATGACTTGCTAATCCCTTAATTTGGGGTAGAGTCATGGCAGCTGGATGAAGCTGAGCATTTACTGGCTGGATGCCCTTCCTGATGTCTATGCGAAGTTTGCAGCAGATATTTTTTCTTTGTGTCCTAGGAGATAAATATCCTGCCACTACCTAGGATTAAACTCTCAACCTTCCGAGTGGGAGACAAGCATCTTCACCACTAGGCCACCACGCCACTCCCTTTGGAATCATATATCTTAAATACTGGTTGCTAGAAAGCAGTAATAGATGTGCCTTCTGTACTTCAGTCCACTGTTATGACCTTCTCGAGTGCATCCGATCACCACTGCATAGGGAGAATGCTGCACTAGATGAGTCTATGCCATTATGTTTTTAAATATCTGGGGGTATCATATCTTTCAAATCTGTTCAACGCAGGAAGCAAGAACCACATGTCTGGAATTATCTGTACTGCTAGTATGATAAAGCCATAGAATCTTGAAATTCTGTCAAACAATTCTGTACTTCAAGTTACAAGCATTTAGGGCAGAACGTCATGCACCAAAATGTCAGAAGATCAGCATAATTCAAATGGATATTTGATTTACTGCAAGCTTAAGCTGTCTGCAAGAATCTGAACTACTAACAGACCAAGCAAATTAGCGGTAGATAAGGCTCAAAGGAATTCAAGGTGGGCTAGACTTAGTTCTCTAGTGAGAGCAAAGGGACTCAAGACTGATAACGGGTTTAACCCTTCCCTCAGACTAAGCTGGGTCGTCTCATACGTAGAATTACTCTAAATCTCTTTCTCATCTTCCTGGAATTATAGATTATTTTATATAAGGCGCTCTTTCCATTTCTGGTTCCCAGAGCGTGCTAGACATTCATTTCACTAGGCAGCTTAGTGCCTATGGGTGTAATGTTGGAGACTTGGGACTGAACTGAACTGAACTGCATGCAGTCTGTTCCTACAATGTACAACTTCCATGATGAAGAGAGATGATTTATGTTAGGATATGGTCATTGCCTAACTAGTTGGCCAGGCAATATATAATCCAACATTGTATGTTTGTATTGTGTAAATGTATTATGTTGCTTTAAGAACATTGCTGAGTCATTCTGCACCCTGATTGGATAAGCTCTGTAGCCAATGTATTTAAGGAGAGCTTTATTGTGGTTAGTTGTGTACACTACACCATATTTTTACCTGCTACTATGCTGTAATTATTTTTGGTCTCTCTAAATGGTCATTGTTTGATCATGGGTTATTTATTAATGTTTCCTGATATTTATTGAAATTTATTTATTTATTTATTTATTTATTTATTTATTTATTTATTTATTTATTTATTATATTTCTATACCGCCTTTCTCCCGTAGGACTCAAGGCGGTGTACAGTCAAGAAAAATATAGATACACAAACATCATAAAATTGCTAATTAAAATTATTACTATAACATAGTTTGGCCCAATTAAA